GTAAGTTAGGTAATGAAAAAATATTAGACACGTATTTCTTTATTTTGTCGTATAATAAAACAATACTTAGATAAAACGAATCAAAGTTTAGGAGTGGGGGCTAAAACGTCATTTCTTAGTATAAAATGTACTGAGAAGTGACGTCACGCGACATTTCAAATCAATATATCTTCGAAACTATTCGTTTCTGTGAGAAAATAAAAAATACGTGTCTAATGTTTTTAAATAATCTATCAGACGGACATTAAAATAAAAATTAGTCGTCTACCCTATTGTGTGTATAATGACGGTACTCAAAGGGTTAATATAGATTTTTTTCTAACAAAACTATACACCTCTACTTTTCTTCATTCACTCTCTCATATGTTGTTTTATAACTTTATTTATGGTTACAATAAAGAAAGGACACCCTGTATATTAACTAATAAATTTTCACAACAAACTTATTAAACTACAACAGCCATTTACAACCTTAACTCTAAGAGAACAAGGTAAAAATTTCGTTGAACAAAATAGTGAGTTAAGTCGTTTTTTGTGTTAGGTAAAAGTTGTTAATCAAATTTCGACTGTAAGTGTTGGTTGCTAAAGTTCTGTTTTGTGTGGATTGTGGTTTTTTAATAGTGCCCTTGGCATTGAGTTATTTTGCGGTTGTGTTGATGTTGTATGTAGAAGGTTCTAGCTTCGATTCTCGGTTGAAAATAGTCGATCTTTTTTTTATAGCATTAGCTGGTAAACGAGCAGACGGATCACCTGATGGTAAGTAATCGGCGCCGCCCATGGACACTCGAAACACCAAGGCGTTACAAGTGCGTAACCGGCATTTTGGGAATTGGGAATTTGAGGATTGTGGAGGATCTTCTGTATGAGAGTGAATAAGTCAACTTTTTGCAGAAAGATTAAGAGATTTATTTCTCGATATTTTGTACATTCAATAACTATTTTATAAAATACTTTAAAAAATTTACTTAATTTACCAATCCCTTCTCCTAAGTGTAACAAACACTTTTCTGAATACTTCATCAAAATCGGTTCAGCTAATCGCGAGATAATATCGTACAAACATACATACATACAATACAGGTCAAATTGAGAACCTCTTTCGTTTTTTGAAGTCGATTAAAAAAGGCCAAAGTCAGATTAGACAGATCATAGTCTCAAAGTTTCAAAGCGCTGCTGCCCGGTCGTAGTGACCGGGCAGCAGCCCGGTCACTACCAAACGTGTAGTCCCTATTTTATAGTCATCATTCTCGTCATCAACAGCTTAAAAGTGCCCACTGCTGAGCAAAGCCTCTTCTCGCACGGAGAAAGTTTGAGCATTAATCACCACGCTTGCTCAATGCGGGATCGCGATTATAAACTTATAACTACAAATTATAAACCCAGGTTTCCTTCACCGTTTGTCAGTGGTGTCTAGATAATCTTAGAAAGTACATATACTAACTCTGAAAAAGTCACATTGGTACTTGCCGTTGGTAGGTTTCGAACCCACACCCTCGTGCATGAGAAGCGAGCGTCTTAGACCTCCGGGCCATTATGACAATATATTTTCTTGTATAGGACTGCAAACAAACACACAGGTCACCTCTGATGGTAAGCAATCAGTACCCACAACACCAGAGGAGTCACACCTTGCCTACCTTTTAAAAATGACTATCATACTACACCCACGACAAGAACAGCGGTGCTAACAAATAACCTACTCTACCATAACCACACCGTAAAACTAATAACTTTATGAATGGTCCCAATTCCCTATTCCCCCAATTTCGGCCAGTGTCGTATTTCCAGTGCGACAAAGCTTCTGTTGTTAAATAAAAGGGCTTTATAAGGATTAAATTGGCCGGTGAAAAGGTTAGGGGTTATGGAGCGCAGTGGTTGGGTGATAGGCTGGGTGATAGGCTGGGTGATAGGTAGTACAATGATGATTTGCAATCGTTTACTATTAAGTAAAGAAATGGTAATGATTTTTCGTTAACTAAAATCGCGGGTTACTCACGTGAATATACTGAGAAAAGCTCTACTAGTTTCGGAACTAAACCCCTCTGTGGTTCGAAACTAGTAGAGCTTTTCTCAGTATATTCAGATTTTAGTTCATTTAGTATGTATTATAAAAACTATAGCGCGCATTAGTAAGACTAACGTGGTGTTGCACACCCCATATCTAACTCGACGCTCGGCACGAGTCCGCGCCCGCGCCGCTAACTCTAGTCAGTAACGCGAAAACTGTTTTTAGAGGGATACTTTATCCAATATACTATAAATTTTATCATAAAAAATATCTAAAATATCTTCTAAATCAGTCATATCATACATATCGCTCCAGTCCGTTGAGCCCAACATTGAAAACTATTAAACACAACGCAAGCGTTGTTTCACGTCGGTTTTCTGCTCGGCCGTGGTATCACTACGGTCGAGCCGGCTTTTGGTTTTGGTACCGAAGCATGGTTCTTCCATTAAAAAATAGGTATATAAGTAGGCGGCCTGAAAAGCCTACAAAATTCATAATTCTGTTTCAGGCCCTTTCCGGGGCGGTCGAAAAAGGTTGCGTTTAAATACACTGAAAGGTTTTCAGGTAATTTTCAGCAGGATGTTAACTAGACGGGCAGGCTACATATTGGATGAAGTTTCATGTTAGCTTAACTTACATAATCCACACATACATACACACATAATTAACCCGTCGAGCGTCCGCGTTCCTTATGATCCAACGGGTGCACACGTGACATTTCGAGAAAGAAAGAAAAAAAATACATTTATTTGGCCATTGGCACACGAAAATAAGGATCATTACAATAGAAATAAAACAAATACAGTCAAAATAAAAACAAAACATTAATAATAGATTTTATAAAAGAAAAAGCAGCATGGAGCATTTAATTTTTTTCTTATGATCCACCGGGTGCTTATAAGGACGCTCGAGGGGTTAAACATACATATTTATCAATATATAAAAACTGAAGAATTTCTTTTTTTTTAATGAGACAAGCCCGCCACAACCTCCCAAAACCGCTTGAACTCCTGTAAGCCAGGATCTACAGTAGATACAACCATGCAAACACCGGAACATTGAAGTCCGGCGCGTCCCAGGGACATGAGTAACTGTCTTGGTTCCCGCAACGAAGTGAATCAGAAGATATTATAAGAGGAGAAGAATAAAAACGATAGTTTCCACTTCCCTCGGTGAATTACTGCAGGAGACAGAGTGAATTAAGCCTAAAGGCACAAAAAAGAGACTGTACAACTGGGTGAAGCCCGGTCGCCAAGCTCCACGGAAAGTTGACTAAAATCTAAGTGGGTCCTATGTGTAAGCTATTATACTTGCTTCCAATAATAGGTATGGCAAAAGCGCCTGGAAATTTGTTCTAGATTCCACAAGGTCCATATAATAAGCTACACCTGATGAAACAATTAAATAACGGTAACGCACTTGTAACGCCTCTTATGGTCCAGGTGTCCATGGGCGACGGCGATTGTGACCGGTTACCGGAGGCACAATTACCCCCCTCCCCAGTCTCCTCAATCCCTGAATCGCCAATAATCCTTAAATACCTAGTCCCCAAAAGGCTGGTACCGCACTTGTAACGCCTCTGGTGTTTTAGGTGTTCATGTGCGACGCCGATTGCTTACCATCAGGTGATCCGTCTGCTCGTTTACTTAGCCCATAAAAATAATAGAGATAATTTACGAAATAGAATTCAAGATCAGTTTCTTCTTAGATTACATTAACTCAACCAACATCGAGCAACAAGTGTGATTAAATTAGGGAACTCCCAAATGATACTCTGACCGAACAAGGGCTCTCTTAGGCAGCGCCAAATGAAGACGGACAGATCTGTGCCACAGTTAGGGCAGGTCCACTCTATACGGCCGGATTTAGGGATTGACCTAATATTGTTGGATCGAAATAGAATGTATTATTGAACAGAGAGTAATATTGTTCTATACAGATTGTTTTGTTACTTCAGCTTACTGAAGTTCGCTCTTAGGTCATCTTAGACCTCTTAGGTCTCGGGATTGATTCTCGGGTCGATTATTTTTTATTTTTGGTTTTTCGTCATTTTATCTATTATAGCAAGGAAAAGGAAAAACTAATATTGTAATACCTGATTATAAATATACCATTAATAAATTCGTTGATCAAATTTTATACAAAATTCTCCATACAACTGAAATCAAATATTATATTCAACCTTAAGATAAAGAATAGTATTAATTTCAACCCTAAAATAAAACCAAATTACACTAAAATCACAAAAAAGAACAAAACAAATAATTCTTCTCTTTTCTTCTTCTTCTCTATTGTTCTTCTTCTCCTCTAATTTATTCTTCTACATACGATGTTTAGAAGTAAAGTCAGCAAGTAGTTTCCGCCGGCCTACAGTCTATGTAACAGCTGAAGGCCGAAAGAAACCCCTACTGACTGTACTTAGTCTTCTTTCTTCTTTTCTAATTCTTCTTCAGCAGAAGTAAAAGTTTTTTCTTCATCGTACCGCAAGACAATCGGCGAAGCGTCACCGATTCATGGTAGATGTCCCACCAACACGCACGAAGCGCTTCGCATCAAGCTTCCTTGAGCGTACTGCTAAGAAGTGGCATTCTACCAGATTCTGTATTTCCTGAAGGGGTATAACCTGAGTGTCTTCAGGGCTAGCGTGAATAGGTTGCTTATGGGACGACGTACGAGATAGTGGTCAAACATTGACCCATAAAAAAATTCGGTATTACCAGTTATGATTTAAGTTCCACAAATTATCCAGTCACATAATTGTCAAATCAAAAGAGCTAAAATGAGAAAGTCATGAAAACAACAAATCGTGCGTTGTGTGCAGGCTTAAGAGTGAGGTCACCGAAGCTTCCATTATCTCAAAAGACTGACAGCGCACTTGGTGGCAAGAGTTTATGGGCAGCATTGATGATTTATGTACCACCAAGGGATACGTCTACTTCTTTACCCTGTATCTCTTAAAAAGAAAACAAAACAATAAATCAAATCGACTCACTTCAAGCCCGCCACGATCTCCATGGCACCGTTAAAATTCCCGATGTTCCAACAAGTGAGGGCCACTCGGAGGACGCACGCGAGGGCTGCCTTCCTGTCTTCTAATGAGGAGTGGGATAGCACCAGCTCTGTCACCCACCCGGAGACCTAGAGAAGAAGATAAAAGAGGTTCTTTAGAATGAAATTGTGAGTAGAGGGCGCTGAAAGTGGTTTTGGCGGCGGTTAGTGATATGCGCTAAAACTGAGCTGGATAAAACTTGATTTACTTTACTTGAATGAATGTTTTTTTTTATATCATAAACCGATAAACGACCAAACGGATCACCTAATGGTAAGCAATCGGCGTCGCCCATGGACACCTGGAACAGCAAAGGCATTACAAGTGCGTCACCGGCTTTTTGGGGATTAGGAGTTTGAGGATTGTTGGGGATTCAGGGATTGGGGAGATTGGGGAAGGGGAAGGTAATTGGGCCTCCGGTAACCTCACTCACATGACGAAACACAACGCAACCGTTGTTTCACGTCGGTTTTCTGCTCGGCCGTGTTATCACTCCGGTCGAGCCGGTCCATTCGTGCTGAAGCATGGCTCTCCCATACTTAAACAGTACAGTTACGTGAGTAAGCCGAAAACAAAATAATTAACTTCCTTTATTGTTTTAATTCTCTTCTGCTGACGACTGGCTAGCTTCTGCCAGCGGCTTCACCCTCGTTCCAATTAATATCTAAATTACACATGACTGCCTCATTGGCCAAGTGGTCGCAAGTGCGACTGCCGGGCAAGGGGTCTCGGGTTCGATTCCCGGGTCGGGCAAAGTATTACTGGGTTTGTAAAAACCTCAGTAGTAGCACGGAGTCTGGAAATGTGCTCGGTATATGGCAATAAGCTCATCCCCTATTACATGGGACTCATAACATAAATAGTGAAAAGTTGGTGTTACATTGTACAGTGGCATTAAACCCCGTAATGTGCACCTCTGCCTATCCCTTCGGGGATAAAAGGCGTGATATTATGTTATGTGTGGGAGAGCCACAGTACCACAACCTTGACGCCACCTCGTGTCTAGTTAAAGTTGTCTGTATCCTGTATCCTGTACCCTGCACCTCTGAATTATATAGCAGGATGGTAATCGTTATTGAAACACAGCTACCGGAATAAGCCTACCCTCGAGTGAGGTGGGTATGAGTTTAGAAAGGACAGGACAGTCCTGCTTGTTAGAATTTTTTACCGGTTTTATTTCACATCACATATTATGTGCCCACTGCTGAGTAAAGCCTCTTTTGATACGAAGACGGTTTGAGCATTAATCACCACGCTTGCTCAATGCGAGTTGGCGATTACAAACTTAGAAATTATAAGCCCAGGTTTCGTCACGATGGTTTCCTTCACCGTTTTTAAATGGAATAGGAGACAAACGAGCAGACGGATCACCTGATGGTAAGCGATCAGCGCCGCCCATGGTCACCCGCAACACCAGAGGAGCCATAGGTGCGTTGCCGGTCTTTAAAAAAGGAATATGCTCTTTTCTTGAAGGACTCTTTTATTTTTTTTTACCGTTTGTCAGGGGTGTCTAAATAATATTAGAAAGTACATGTAACTCGGAAAAAGTCACATTGGTACTTCTATTTGCTATAAGCTTTTATTTATCTTGTAACGTATGTATGTATGTCTGCAAAGTGAAATCTTGCAACAAAATTTAGAAGCAGATATCTTCAATAGTAATCCTGTAATGACACTTAAGTATACCTAAGTTTCTCGTTTTTGACTGCCTCGTTGGCCGAGTGCTCGCAAGTGCGATTGCTGGCCAAGTGGTCTCGGGTTCAATTTACTGACCGAGCAAAGAATTGCTGGGTTTAAAAAAATCTCGGTAGTAGCACGGAGTCTGGTATTGTGCCCGGTATATGGCAATAGGCTCACCCCCTATTACATGGGACTCGTAACATAAATAGTGAAAAGTGGGTGGTATATTGTTCAGTGGCATCAAGTGCCGTAATGCTCACCTCTGCTTACCTTTTTGGGGATAAAAGGCGTGATGTTATGTTATGTTATGTTATATAAACAAAATAATAAATAACTAGGGCTAAGTTAAATAAAAACTAAAGTATTCATAACTAAAATTAAAACATAAGAAATAATTGGATAAACAAAATAAAATTGCTCTTAAATATACGACAATTTACAAACGAGACTTATCCCGTTATATAACAAACGCATAGCCACCCTATACCCATTATGATACCGCGCTTGCTTGTATAAATTTTAAGGCAATTTTACAATATGCGCTGTAAATATTAAGGATATTCGCATATTCTGCAATAAACGTAACAGACGGGATTATTTTACAGTATACTAGCTTAATGCACGCGACTTTCCTTGCATAATATTACCGTTTTTAACATAACATCACGCCTTTTATCCCTGAAGAGGTAGACAGAAGTGCACATTACGGCACTTAAAGCCACTGTACAATGTAACACCCACTTTTCACTATTTATGTTATGAGTCGTAATAGGGGGTGGGCCTATTGCCATATACTGGGCACATTTTCAGACTCCGTGCTACTACTGAGGTTTTTACAAACCCCAGTAATACTTTGCCCGATCCGGGAATCGAACCCGAGACCCCTTGCCCGGCTGTCGCACTTGCGACCACTCGGCCAACGAGGCCGTCAATCGTTTTTGATCTGATAACCGATTTTTTGAAGGGTAAGGTTTTACTTCAAAACTTAGAGACTTCAAAAATAGAGGGGTTCATTCCCCTCTATTCGGATTTTTAGACATAGTTTACCATCAAAATTAGTTCAGTCATTCGTGAGATAGTCGCACAAAAATATACATACATACAAGTCGAACTGAGATGCTCCTTCTTTTTTTGAAATCGGTCTACTTGAAGGGTCAAGGATTACAAATCGTCACTAAAATTATGTCCTAGTAACTCAAGTAAAACCGCTGGCACAAGCCAGTACAAGTTCAATGAATTAGTTCTTTTTATAGATCACTGCCTACCCCCTAACAATTAAATCTATTAAATACGAAGACGTGTGTTAATTATGTAGAGAGAGGACGTGGGATGTTGTGGCCGCTCTAGTGACGTGACACGTGTTTGTTATATCGAGTATCGATAAAATCTGATTAATTTTTAGTACATTTATTTTTTAGATAGCTCGACATATTTTTTTCAAGGACCATTGCCCCACATTAGGATTTTTTCCTGTGTCGTGTGTGCGTTTACAAACATACAAGTTCACATACACATGACACACAGACGTGACGTCTTTTGACGTGATTGAGAAACAAACTAGCCTATAAACAAACTTTCCCATTTATTGTAATAGTAAGATTACCTATATTTATTTTAAACTAGCTTCTGCCCGCGACTTCGTACGCGTAATCCCATTTTTTCTCGTCCCCGTTCGTGATTTTCGGTAAAAAGTAAAAAAAAAAATTTGGTTAAAAAGTATCCTATGTCGGTCTCCTGGCTCTAAGCTACCTCCCTACCAATTTTCAGCCAAATCTATTTTGCCGTTCTTGAGTTATAAGTGGTGTAACTAACACGACTTTCTTGTATATATGTATATAGATTTTTTTTATAAGGGGGGAAAATCAGCGAATCACTGCTCCCGCCTGGGTGAGGCGGAAGGGAGTGTCAGACTCTTACTGACTAAAAACCATCCCGTTCCTTCTCCTGCACGCCGAGCCGGAGCCCCGGTTACCCGTTAGGTTCACCGCGACATATATATAGATTAAGGGCTGTAACTTCAACTTCATGGAATAAAATAACGACGTAATGTTTTTTTAAACACTTCCTTTTAAAACTTTTAGAAGTAAACGATAGCTCTTTGGTTCACGTTCAATAGAAACGTCGTCATTTTAAAGAATTATTTGTTTTAAACCTCTCAATGGACCCGAGTCAATAATTCTATCAGATTGTATTAAAACTTTACAAAAGTTTTCGAAACTCAATGAAATCTTTATTCTTTTGTTCAAATGTAAAGTTATTGTATAAGATCCAATTTGATTTCGTTAAATTATTACAATTTGAAATCTTAGAGGTAAGGTCTGCTTTTGAAGGATAAAAAATAATACATTTTTTGTATGGTAAACAGGCGATGTCGTGGTGGCCCGGAGGTTTAAAATGGCCCCTTCTCATGCATGAGGGTGCAAGTTCAAAACCCACCAACGACAAGTACCAATGTGACTTTTTCCGAGTTATATGTACTTTCTAGGATTATCTAAACACCACTGACAAACGGTCAAGGAAAACATCGTGAGGAAACCTGGGCTTATAATTTGTAATTATAAGTTTGTAATCGCAAACCCGCATTGAGCAATCGTGGTGATTAATGCTCAAACCTTCTCCGTGTGAGAAAGGCAGCAGTGGGCATTTATAGGCTGTTGATGATAATGGTGAACAGGCAAACGAATCACCTGAAGGTAAGCAATCGGCGTCGCCCATGAACACTTGGAACACCAGAGGCGTTATAAGAGCGTTACCGGCCTTTTGGAGATTAGGAATTTAAGGATTGTTTTGGATTCAGGAATTGGGGAGATTGTGGAGCGAGGGTAATTTGGCCTCCGGTAACCTCACACACACGACGAATGATAACGCAATTATTATTTGAGGCTGATATACCATAAGGCCGTGGTATCACTCCGGTCGAGCCAGCCCATTCGTGCCGAAGCATGGCTCTCTTACGTGTCGTAAAATAAGTCACCCAACTGAAGATGATGTCTTTTATGAATTGTGTACTTTTAAATACTGAACTGAATGTAGGTCACCTTCGCTGAACACAATACCTATCCGACGCACTCTCGTCGTCTTTACGTAAGTCGTATTTTGTCGTCAGTGAGCCTATGTGGTAAGTGGTGTAGCAACAACGATAATATTACGAAGAATAATCGCCAAAAGCCGATTACCATCCACTGCTGAATTACGGGCATTCTGTATATTATTAGGTTTTTTGTGATATGCCCGATACAACCTCCCAAAACCGCTGCAACTCCTGTAAACCAGGATCGACAGTAGATACAACCATGAAAACACTGGAACACTGAAGTCCGGCGCGTCCCAGGGACATGAATAACTGTCTTGGATTTCCGCAACAAAATATTTCTTTTTATTGCATAAGTCGGTGAACGAGCAGACTGAT